TGTGCCTATTCTGGACCCTGCTGAAGCAGACATTTCATTGAGAGGACTAGAAGAGAGTCCATGGTTGCTAGGAGATAAACATTATTTTACTCATTTTGTCGAAAACAAACCTAAGGCTTAGAAGGTTAAGTAGAAGAGATCACATAGCTAGTAAGGGGTGGAGTGTGAGGATTCCAGCCCTCACAGCCTAGCTCTAGCCTGTGCTTTTAATTATTGCTTTACTTCCGGAGGAGATAGGCCTTAAATTGGGGCTGCCTGGGCAGGAAGAGGGGTGTACGGCATGGGCAAAGACTGGTGGGGGGGTTTGAGGATAGATTTATAGGTGTTTAGGTAAACCAAGTGAAGTTTGGAGATAGGGTTGGGAAGTCAGATTGGGGGTAGAGTTTGAAGGGAGTGAAGCACGTTTTGTGTGCCTGTGTTGGAGTCTTGTGGTTCAAAGAGAAGGTTCTTGTTCAGGGTCATGCTGCTGAGTTAGAACCCAGCTCCCTTCTGTTGGAACAGGTTCTAGACCAGAAGGAGCACAGGCTGGATGGCCGTGTCATTGACCCCAAAAAAGCCATGGCCATGAAGAAAGACCCAGTAAAGAAAATTTTTGTGGGGGGTCTGAATCCTGAAGCCACTGAGGAGAAGATCAGGGAGTACTTCGGCGAGTTTGGGGAGGTGAGTGTGTGGCTCCCGGAGTGGTCTGCCAGCTGCACCGAGGTTGCCTTCTTCCTGGTCCTTGGCACCTTGGCTGGCTGGAGCTCTTTTTCACTCTGGTGTTCTTGGACGTTTTCTCCTGTGAGTTCCTTATAGGCTCTGCGGTAGGGTCCTGAGCTTTGCTTACGTTTGCAGATTGAAGCCATTGAGCTTCCAATGGATCCAAAGTCGAACAAAAGACGAGGCTTTGTTTTCATCACCTTTAAAGAAGAGGAACCTGTGAAGAAAGTTCTGGAGAAAAAGTTCCACACCATCAGTGGAAGTAAGGTAAGGTGTCCCCAGCTGTGTGTGCTTGGCATTCTGCTGGAGAGCTGGCCTTTGCAGGCGTGGATTAGGCATTGGGTTACCTCCAAGAGTTCTCCAGGGTATATGTTACTGTTTTCTGCACTGTTTGCTGTCCTCATAGGGGAGGGGCAGGTTGTCCTGTCTTTCACGGAGCTCCTAGGCTGGTAGGACAGGATATGAGGGAAGCAGAATACTGGAGGACGGGAGGCTTATATGGGATAGAGAGTGTGCTGAGTAGCCTCTTCAGTTCCTGACTTAAAGGTAGAGGTCATGGTGTTTGGGATGTAGAGTGCAAAGTGTGTAAGTCCTACAGTTAAGGTCTCAGAAGATTCTAAAATTGCCATTTACTGTTTTCTGTGGAGAAGTCTTACCTGCTTTGGACGTTGTTGTAGAGCTTTTATCTTTATCTCCTGCCACAACCAAATCTGTTTTATCTCCATCCCCTTTGGTTACTGGTTAAATTAAGCCCCACCCCAAAGATCCTTTCCAGAGAGCTCCCAGGGTCCTGGCCACCTTAAATCTAGAGTCAGTTTTGACTTCAAATAAGCGAGAGTCCTGTTCAGTGAGGGGCAATTCTTCCCTCTGAACTCTGGACGGGAGAGAGGGTAGGTAGTTCATGCTCCCTGTGTTCTCCAGTGGCCGAGGCAGTTGGGAGTTGAGGGTGTGGCCCACTGGCAAGGTGTGGCAGGCTCTGCCTGAGCAGGAGTGGCAGCCAGATAAGGTGGGACACATAGGGTGGGGCTCCTGGAAGCCTCAATCCTGGCTGGGAATTTTTGGAAAGATTGGATTTGGGATTGGGTCCCCCTAAATTTTATGTAAAATGAGATGGGATCATAGGGGCTGTTGGGTGAGACCTCATCCATTAGTGGTTACCCCAGTGGACAGTGACATGGAAAGAGGTCTTTGTGCCATGATGTGAAATGGGCATGAAGAGCCTATTAGGGCACCATTAGTCAAACTGCTAGTGGTTGATTTTGAAATAAGTGTATTTTAGCAGGTTGTATTCAGTATTTTTAACTTAGTAGGACAGAAAACATGAGATTGCATCACTTGGTAATTTGCTGATTTTTTGAGTATGCTTGTATGGGGGCATCTTACGTAAAATGGTTTTGTTTTTTTGTTTTTTTTGCGGTACGCGGGCCTCTCACTGTTGTGGCCTCTCCCGTTGCGGAGCACAGGCTCTGGACGCGCAGGCTCAGTGGCCATGGCTCATGGGCCCATCCGCTCCGCAGCATGTGGGATCTTCCCAGGCCGGGGCACGAACCCGTGTCCTCTGCATTGGCAGGCGGACTCTCAACCACTGCGCCACCAGGGAAGCCCCCTAAAATGTTTTTTTAATTGGTCTTAATGGAGAGGGTTATGTGTCAGTGGACTTTCTTTTAAAAATATACTTAAAGCAGGAGCACTTGAAGGTCCATGACCCTCAGAGTTTTGAGCAAAAAGGAAATTGACTCTCTGGGCCCTAAGAAAACAAAGATATCTGGCCCATCCCAACAGCACACCAGTGGTTGGAGGAGAAAGGGGGAGCAGTATGGCCTTAGGGAAGGCTGCCCTGAGCCTCAGTGGCTTTCTTTATAAGATGGAGGTCAGGTTTGCCACCTCAATAGTGTATTTGAGTGGAATGCTTTTATTTCTTCTGGGGGGAAAAAGAACCTTTTTTCTCTAAGATCCCTTACCTGGGAAGCCTTCTCTGACTCCCTTGCCCAAGGTGGCACCAGATTGACACCTGGTGTGGTGTCTTGCTACACTGGACTGGCATTGGTCCAGCTGTCCCTCTTCTCCCACTTGTTAGAGCACCCAAGGGTGACCATCAGTAGACCTATCCCATTGGGTGTATCCCATTGTTTCAAGCACTCTGGGGAAAGGCTTGAGCCAAAAAGCCCATTGTGTGAGTTTTTCGGTCTGTCTAGATTTTAGTTGTGATTCTGAGAGCTAGTCCAAATGTGGTTTCCCACCCCAGCATGTGTTCTTGAGCAGATAGAGAAGATCTGCCTCCTGAACGTTTGTCAGCGAAGGCCTTCGTGCACACTTCCTGCCCAGGGCTTGTCCCACTGGCATGACCCACTGTTCTCTTGGCTTTCAGTGTGAAATCAAGGTGGCTCAGCCCAAAGAGGTTTATCAACAGCAGCAGTATGGCTCTGGGGGCCGTGGGAATCGCAACCGAGGGAACCGAGGCAGCGGTGGTGGTGGCGGAAGTGGAGGAGGTGAGTGGAACCCAGATGAAGATGAGTCCTGTTTCCCTGCCTGCATGGAGCTTCTGTGCCTGTTTTGGGGGCTCTCTTGGCCTCTGGTGCTTGGTGCAGCAGGGTGGGCAGAATCAGGAATGGTTTTCCTGGGTTGAGGCTATGCTGCTGCTGCTGCTGCTGCTGCTGCTGCTGCTGCTGCTACTGCTTGGAGTAGAAGAGCCCATTTTTCTCATGTGGTCTGGGGCCCCAGGGCAGAGGGGCGTCTGCATCAAGACGGGGTGTACTTGGCTCTGTGGCTGTCCTGAGTCTTGGTACACCCATGGGTGGGTGGGCTGAAGGGTAGGGCAAGGCTGTGCCAGGCGCTTAACCTCCTTCCGTCCCAGGCCCCTCTGACTCCAAAGCCTGAACTCCATCCTTTTTAAGGCCAAGCTGCCAGGGGGGGGTGGGGGTGAGCAGAGGGTGATTTGAATGAGAGTGAGCTGCCTCGGTTGCCCCAGTGAAGTTAGTTTTCCATCCTGGCCTGGCCTTCTTACCCCCAGCTTGGGTCTCAGGTACAGGGCTGGGCCCAGGGCCCTCCCTCTACACCAGGACAGCAGCCCCTTGGCTTTTCTGAGTTGCCATAGTAACCTCGCCACCCAAAGGGCAGGATTTCCTCCATCCTAGCTCCTGCGTGTGCTAAATGGTCCATGGGCCCCTGTGCCCTGCTCCCCCCCACAGGTCAGAGTCAGAGTTGGAATCAGGGCTACGGCAGCTACTGGAACCAGGGCTACGGCTACCAGCAGGGCTACGGGCCCGGCTATGGCGGCTACGACTACTCGCCTTATGGTTATTACGGCTACGGCCCCGGCTACGACTACAGTAAGTAGGAGAGAGGGAGGCCCCCATCCACTCACCCACCCTGGGAGGCAGGACAGACAGTGCAGGGGCCACTGGCAGCAGGGGCTTTGGAGTCGGACAGGCTGGGCTTTGTGGCCTGGCTTGCTCACTGGAGCTACCCGATTTTGAGCTTTTGGGGCTCAGGAAGGTGGGGAAGATGTCCTATCAGAGTTGTTGGCTCTGGTGAGGATGTATATCAAGCGCCTGGCACAGGAGTAAATGCTCAGTAAGTTGTAGCTGCTCTCATTGTTGTTCTTGTCCCTAGGTCAGGGTAGTACAAATTACGGGAAGAGCCAGCGACGCGGTGGCCATCAGAATAACTACAAGCCATACTGAGGCTTTGGCAGGAGTGTCCGACTGACCGCACACGCTTTGTTGGGATATCGAGTGAACACAATTATGTACCAAATTTAACTTGGCAAACTTTCTATGGGCTGTCCCATGTGCGTCTTATTTAAAATTTCCCCCCTGGAAATCACTCTCCTGTTTAATATATCCAGAGCTCTAGTTGTTTTAGGCAGCGTGTGGTGTCTCGAGGCCAGAGCGGCATTATGGGCTCATTTTTATTACCCGGTTACCCGGAGCCAGATTGGAGGGTCTGCTTCCTGCGGCCGCTCTGCAGCCTGGACCTGTGGACCCTGGTTGTAAAGAGTAAATTGTATCTTAGGAAAACAGTGTCACCTTTTTTCACCTTTAATTTTATATTATTTGTGTCATACATTTCCTATAATGGAAGTGTTAATTTTACTGTACTTTTTGGTACCTTTCGGGAATCTAATGTATTGTAAGGTATTTTACACGTGTCCTGATTTTGCCACGACCTGGATATTGAAGCTATCCAAGCTTTTGAAATAAAAATTTAAAAACCCCCAAGCCTGGGTGAGTGTGGGATATACTGTGAAGGGGGACAGGTGCTCCAGAGCTCCAGTATCCTCCAAGACCACCTAACCTGCATCCTGTCAGGCATAAGCACACACTCTCCACATCTTTGGTTAGTTTCCTTTAATGACTTGGCCCTGCCTAGGGCCTAGGACTTGTGCCCCTTTAAAGAAAGTGGAGTGGCTCAGATATTTGGGGCAGCTGTTCAAGGGGGTGAAAACAGTACAGTGAGGGTTACCACCCTCAGTGGGGACACTGCCCCAGGGCAGTTCGAGTCTGGAGCACCTTGGAACACCTGTCTTGACTTGCCATTGGAAGTGGGATTCTCTCTCCCAGCAAAGACAGTGTGAACCTAAAGATAAGAGCAGACACACAAAGGGCCAGCTGGATCTGGGCGAGATGGTGCCCCTCCTGGTTGTAACGGCCCCCTATGGCAGGGCCTATCTGTTGGCCTGATTGGAGTACCCCAAGTCTAGTGGCTGAGGCCTAAGATAGCTAGTTGTAAGACACAGCACTTGGCTGGGGGCTGCAGGTGGATAAAGCCTGCCAGAAGCTCTCCCGTGGAGGAACCCGCTGGAGAAGGGAGGAAATAGCTATATTCTTTGCTCAGCCATCAAATGCAAACTTAAGTACTTTGGAGATTTTTCTGGGGTGGGGGATGGGGAGAGCCCAAGGCAGCCAGAGCCTCCCAGTATTAAAACTAACCTGTGGGAAGGGGACATCACTTGGAACAAGAATGTTGAAGGAGCTACTAAATGGGTGGTAAGGAACCCAGTTCTGGTTCTCTAGGAACAAGAAGTAAGGCCACTTACCTAGAGGACACGCCTCAGCAGAGCTGCGTCAGGGCTGGAGCCTCAGTGTCTTGCAACTTCTCACTTTCTCTTCCATGTCTGAAAAAGATGGTCAACCTTTCTCCTCTGCTAAAGACTTCTGCCTTCAGTGTCCAGGCTTCTTGGATGGCATTGTGGAGACTGGGCCCACTGGCCTGTCCAAGCCCATTGTCCCACCCTTTACCCCTGTGTACAGGCCACCACAGGGTCAGCAACAATTTCCCAAGAGGACAAAACCAGCCCTCAGATTTCCTGAGGCTTCCAGGCTCAACTGAAGTCCCTCCTATACAGTAACTCCAAGCCAGTTCTGTGCCCAGTCAGCTTTTCCTCCGCAGGCTTCCCGAAAATACATTCCCTTCCCCCAGCAGGTTCCGTACCACCTCCAGTTGTGTCTAGTAGGGACTGGCCTCAGCTCTAGAGACCTGGTGACCACAGTGAAATAGCCTGGGGGTGGGGTGGGGGTGGTTGTAGCTGGGCTGCTCTGATCTCTATCAGGAAGATAGCATTTTGCCTATTTTGGGGTCCCCCACTGAGCTCTGTACATGCAACATCGCCTCAGTGCATCGATGTGTCCAATTTGGTAATTATAGATTTCCTTGTAAGTGGATTTAGAGGAGAGTTTGACTTTCCTAAATGATAAGGAATGTGCAGAGGGATTTCATTTTGTGTTGAATCAGTCCAGGGTGCAAATCTCATTTCAGCCACTTAGCAGCTGAAGAAAGCAAAGCTACTGCCACCTACATCTCAGGGAGGCTTTAAGGACACAATGGAACCTCCCACTAGTTCCGATAGTTGGGCTTAAAAGCCCAGCCCTGCTTCCCTTGTCCTGCATGCCACACTGGTGCCTGCCCAGGCAGGATGGGTGGTGGCTCATTTCCCATCTACCCAGGGCTCAGATTTTTTGGGGGCACAGGCAGGAATAGGGGAGGCCTCCACTTCAGCTCCCTACTCCCTGCACTGTTCAGAGGACACCTGGCTCAGCTGTTGCACCCCTGTCCCTGGGCATGCTGGGAGGTCCTAGCTCCAGGCTGGGTTGTAGAGACACAGTTATCAGCTGCCCCTTGGGTGTCCAGGCTCACCTGTCAGGATGGCATCCAGCTTTGCTACCACGTGTCGTGCGTTGTCCAAGCTGAAACACATCGGGGGCTTGAACTTCAGGACATTCCTTCCGGGGCCGTCGGTGCTCAACAAAATGTAGTTTTCTTTCAGCCTGCAAGGATAGGACACAGCAGGGCCTGCTGCCCACCAGCCAAGGGCACTTCACATGGGCCTTTCAGACCTTCCTCAGCCTGGCTTTGGCCTCGTGGGCGCGACTCCAGCCACACTGCCCTCAGAACCTTCCATAGGCCAGTTCCCACCAGGATACAGCACTGGCCACCCCCTGCCAAACTCCTGCCCAACTTTATGGCCCAGCATCAGAGGCCCCTGTCTGGGGTGCCCTACATCTGGCCCTGAGCCTGCTGCCTGCACCCCCCCACCCCCAAGCAGGGGTCTTGCTTCGTCCATCCCTGGAGCCCCAGTTGAAGCCGAGATTGGCCACGGGGCTACAATGTGGACAGCAAGAGTCCTTGCATTTTTCATTTTAACATGGTTTATGTGACATTGTATGGTTTACTTTTTATATGGAAAGTGTCCAACATTCACAAAGAGAGTAGTACAGTGAACCCATGGAGCCCTCACCTAGCTTCTAACTTCCCTGCCAACCCTTTCTCTACTCTGCCCCCAGGTTATGTTGTAACCCCAGACAGGACTATCCAGTTTTAATTTCCAGTTCTTTTTGGAAGTTATTTAACATCATCATTGGTATCTAATAAATGTTTTTAATATTCCACATTTACACTTTCAACCTAGGAAGGTATCTTGGCCTCTGAGAGAAGGGGTCTGATGTGACTGTATTTACACTCTCTCTGACCCCCCCCCCCCCACTCTCATTCTTTTTTATTTATTCCTTTTATGTAAGTCTTGTCAGGAGCAGGGTGTCCTCAGCCTGCCTTTGGCTCCTTTCTCGCATCCCAGTCTTCCTGGCACTGACAGCATCTGTGCTAGAAAGATCAGGTTCTGGACTTTAAATCCAGCTCTGCCTTTAGCAGGGTGACTGCCACTGAAACACCGTTCCGCCTGGTTTCTGTTTCTTCACTGAACTGGAGAAACCACAGGGGTGGTTATAAGGTGGAGGAGGTCAGGCTTGGCTGAGGATCTGACTCCCTCCTTCCCACAGACCATCCTGAATTTCTGAGTCTTGAGGCTCCCTGGGGGAAGGGGTGGGTGAGCTGGTGGATGTGCCCAACCAGCACAGAGAAGGCAGGGGCTGGGCAGCCACGCAGGAGGGGTCAGCTTCAGAAAACGTGTGGGGAGAACGATTTTTACATCAATACTGTTTACGTGAATTCGAAACAGAATGACACACATTTCACAACTTGAATAAGGACACGCATCAAACACTAGATGGGTTTTCCAAGGTGGGGGAAGGAGGTAGGAGTGAGGAATGGAAATAAAAAGGAAGTAACGAAACAAGAAGGGAAAGGGTCCTGCGGCTTGGGTCCTGCCTGGGGTTCAAGTGAAAGAACATGGGAACCAGAACTGGGAGCGAGGGCTCCTGAGTCCTGAGATGCTGAGTCATCCAGACACTCCCCACTCAGACAAGGAACAGGAGTCCTATTTGAAAACCCTCTGGGAATGGGGAGTCTGGTTCTGCCACAGCCTCAGGTGTGGCTCTGGAGAAGCTGCTTCCCTCGGGCAGCCTGGGGCTGTGAAATGCAGCATTGGGGCTGCCTGGGTCTGAGAGCTTCTGCAGCTTTGGCATTTTTGGCAGAAGTGTCTGCTCAGGCTGGGAACGGACCGCACCCATCTGAAGCCTTTGCTGCCAGGCACTGGGTACAGAGCTGATGGGGCCGCTTTCTCTGTCCGCAGAGCCCAGTCAAAGGGGTGCACAGATTGGCAGCCCTCTAACCCAGAGGCTAAAGGCCACCTCCTTCAGTCAACCCTGTGTGGGCCCAGCGTGCCTGGGAGAGGCAAGAGGGGAGCTCTTTCCCAGTCAGGGCCGTAGAAACAAGTTGTTTCAAGAAAAAATACCTGGATACCACATAGTCAGCCTCTTCGGTCGCTGGCATCCTTGTGGCCTCATCTTTGATCAGATCCACACCAATGAAGAGCCCAACGCCCCTGGAGCAGAAGGTGACATCTCAGGAGGCCAGGCCTGAGGGACCATGGTCCTTGCTCTCACTCTCTGCCTGGGCCTCAGCCAAGCCCCTGTCAGAAAGCCCACCAGGGCTTGCACCTCTGCCTCCTGGGGAGGCTGAGAGCTGTAGGAACCCTTGGAGGGTGCTAAAACAGTTCCAGGAAGTAACTGTGATGGTGAGGGGCCCTCAATGTGGATAGAGGAAAGTTTGATCCTGGCTTCACCCCCCTCCTCCCTCCAGAGGTGCCATCTTGGGCAGTAGCACCTGTAGGTGCTTCAGTTCCTCTGCGGAGTGGAGATAAAAGTTCCCACCATCCCAGGTGGTGATGAAGTGAATGAAGGAACCACACCGGGCCCCTGGCAGGTGGTGACTGCTACCCTGAGCCTCACCTGATGTCCCCAAGGATGGGATGTTTGGCTTTCTGCTGTCCAAGGAGCTCCATCAGGAGGCTGCCCACAGAGGCAGCATGAGCCTGCAGCTGCTCCTTTTCCAAGACATCCAGGACGGCCAGCCCCACAGCGCAGGACACTGGGCTGCCCCCAAACTGAGCCAGGGGACAAAGAGCATGTCAGGTGCTCAGCAGAGTGGGCCATGCCCCAGGGACTGTGAAGGGCAGCAGAACTGCCACACACAGTGCAAAGGCAGTGATGAACACAGGCCTGAACCCCTCAGGGCTCAGCATGCTGGGCAGTAAATGGGGTTCTTCTGAGTCCCCCATGGGTTGTCCCATCTTTCCAGGTGCTAATGTGACTGTAATCCAGGCCAAGTACCCCCAGGGGTGCAATAGGATCCCCAAGAACAAGCAAAAATCAGAGGAGAGGATGTACTGGGCATTCCCACACAGCTGATTTTGTCAAAAGGCTTCAGGGCCCCATCTCATGGACTGGACCCAGACCCACTGCATTGCACTGCCCATCACCTCTTTCAAGGAGGGTCAAGAGCAGCATGCCAGAGCCACACCCAGGAAAAGTCACTCTGTGGTTCCAGCTCACAGCTCTGCTGGCTGAGCCCAAGGCAGATTTTAGGGCGCAGACCACAAGCTGCCTGTGAGCCAAATGCAGCCTGAGGATTCATTTTGTTTGGCTTGTGTGGCATAATTAAAAGTTTTGAATTAGGTGCTAATGTCTTAAGAAGAGACTTAACACAAAAATATGTCTGACTTAAACCTAGCCTATCTGGCTACATTGGCACTACCTGTCCCCTTCAGGCACCCTGAGTGCTTTGACTCACTTCCTCCACCTGGCCCTGCAGGTGTCTGAGGACCTGCATTGCAGAAAGTCAGAAGGAAGGGGTCTCCTGCAGACCATCTTTTTTTTTTTTTTTTTAAACTAGATCTTAAAAAAACCACAAAACTTTATTGAGGTATAGTTTACATAAAATACACTGCATATATTTAAAATGTATGTAGTTCAGTGTGACTTGACAAATGTATATACCTGTGGAACCTCCACTACCATGAAAATACAAAACATTTCCAGCATTCCCCAAAGTTCCTTGTGCTTCCACCCACTACTGGCCCAGGCAACCACTGACTCTTTCTGTCACTATAGTTTTGCCTTTTCTGGAATGTCATGTGAATGGAATCACAAAATATGTAACCTTTTGTGCCTGGCTTCTGCTCAACATGTTTTTAAAATTCATCTATAATGTGTGTATTGGTCGTTTGTTCATTTTATGGCTGCATAGTATTCCATTATATGGACACACTACAATTTGTTTATCCAAATTCCCGTTGATAGACCCTTGGGGCTTATTTTGGTTTTGGGCTATTTACGAATAAAACTGTTATAAACATTTATAACAAGTCTTTTTGTTAACATACGTTCTCATTTCTCTTGGGTAAATACCTAGGAGTGGAACTGCTGGACAGCTTGATAAATATATATTTAACTATATAAAAAAGTGAAACTGTTTTCCAAAGTCGTACCATATTACATTCCCACCATTAGTCTATGAAATCCCAGTAGCTCCACATCCTCAAAAACATTTGGAATTGTTGCATTTTTTTTTTTTTTTTTGTGGTACGTGGGCCTCTCACTGTTGTGGCCTCTCCCGTTGCGGAGCGCAGGCTCAGCGGCCATGGCTCACGGGCCCAGCCGCTCTGCGGCATGTGGAATCTTCCCGGACCGGGGCACAAACCCGTGTCCCCTGCATCGGCGGGCGGACTCTCAACTACTGCGCCACCAGGGAAGCCCTGTTGCAGTTTTTAATTGCAGCCATTCTAATGGGTATGCAGTGGTATCCTGTAGACCATCTTGAAAATTTGCTTGCAGAACCTCATACTTGTGATCATAAAAAGCTTCCTAGGTGATTTGCTGTGAGGCAGCTTTCTGATATGTCCAAAGCAAATTATGTGTGGCATGGACACAGGGGATGGATTGAGGCTATTTATTGCATATTATTATCAACTGTGAACTTGTTAAAAGGTCGTGTGTTCTACCCACAGCATCTTTGGTTTAGAATTGTGGCCTGGCCAAGATGCTGAACTAGCATAATAGATAACATTAGTTGTCTGTTCTGAACTAGTTCAGAAAAGGCAATATACAAACAACAACAAAAAGCATCAACAACAAACCATGAGGAGGGAAAATGATTTCCAATGTTGCCACATTATATTATTTAAAAATGTCTAGTTCTCAACAGAAAATTATGAATCATGAAAAGAAAGAAGAAAGCATGGCCCATATATGGGGTGGTGGTGGTGGGGGGTGTGGATACAATCAACAGAAACTGTTACGGAGGAAGCCCAGATGATGGCCTTATTAGACAAAGACTTTTTCTTTTTTTTTAGACAAAGACTTTAAATCAGATATTATAAATATGCTTAAACACTAAAGGAAACCATATCTAAAGAATTAAAAGCTAAGCATGAAAATGGCGTCTTGCCAAATTTGGAAGATCAATAAAGAAATAGAAATTATAAAAAAGAACTAAATAGAAAGTCTGGAGTTGAAAAGCACTGGAGCTGAAATGAAAAATTAAGAGGCTCAACAGCAGATTTAATCAGGCAGATGAAAGAATCAGCAAACTTGAAGATATGTTGATTGAGACTGTCCAGTCTGAAAATTGGAAAGAAAAAAGAATTAAAAAAATGAACAGAGCCTCAGAGACCTGTGGGACACAAGCATACCAACATATGCAAATAAGAATTCCAGAAGGAGAGGAAGGGGCAGAAAGAATATCTGAAGCAACAATGGTCAAAAACTTACTAAATTTGACTAAAAAAACACCCCAACAACAATCTAAACATCCAAGGAGCTCAATGAACTCCAAGTAGAATAAACAAGTTTCATACCTAGACAAAACATAACCAAGGTACTGAAAGACAAGAACAAGAGGGTGGGTAAATGGGTGAAGGTCGTCAAAGGTAAAAAAATTCCAGTTGTAAATAAGTCACAGGGATGTAAGGTACAGCACGGTGACTATAGTTAATAATACTGGGGACTTCCCTGGTGGTCCGATAGTTAAACTCTGTGCTTCCACTGCAGGGGGCTTGAGTTTGATCCCTGGTCGGGGAACTAAGATCCCATGTGCTGCACAGCGCTGCCAGAACAAACAAGCAATACTGTATTGTATATTTGAAAGTTATTAAGAGAGTAGACCTTAAAAGTTCTCATCACAAGAAAAAAAACTGTAACTTTACGGTGATGGATGTCAAGTAAACTTATTGTGGTTATCATTTTGCAATACATACAAATATTGACTCATTATATTGTACACCTGCAACTAATATGATGTTGTCTGTCAATTATAACTCAAAAAAAAAAAGGACAAAGAGAGAATATTGAAATTAGCAAGAGAGAAGCAACTCATCATGTACAAGAGATTCTCAACAAGATTAATAGCTGATTCCTCATCAGAAACCCTATAAGGCCAGAAGGCAGTGGGATGACCTATTCAAAGTGATGAAAGAAAAATACTGTCAGTCCAGAATTCTCTGTAAAGTAAAAGTATCCTTCAAAGATAAAGGAGACAGGAATTCCCTGGTGGTCCAGTGGTTAGGATTCTGTGCCAAGGGCCCGGGTTCAATCCCTAGTTGGGGAACTAAAATCCAACATCCCACAAGATGCATGGTGCAGAATAAAAAAGGAAAGAAAAGAAAGAAAGAAAGGAGGGGAAAGAAAGAAAGAAAAGAAAAAGAGGAGAAACTAAGGTAGTTCTAGATAACGAAAAAACTGAAAAAAATTTGTCAGCAGCAGATCTACTTTACATGAAATACTAACAGTATTTCTTCAGGCTGAAATGAAAGGACATCAGATGTAAATCAAATCCACATGAAGAAATAAAGAGCACTGGTAAAGACACAAGTAGGTTTGAAAGCAAGAGAGTGAAGGTATGCCATGCAAACAGTAACCAAGAGAGCTGGTGTGGCTGTAGTAATATCAGACATAAAAGACTTGCAAGATTAAAACTGCTATTAGCAACACAGGAAAACATAATGATAAAAGAGTCAATCTATCAAAATGATATAACCACTACAAATACATACGTACTTAACAACAGAGCCCCCAAATAAGTAAAGCAAAAAATTAACTGAAAGGAGAACTACAGAATTCAATAAGAATAGTTGGAGAGTTCAGTCCCTCATTTTCAATAATAAACAACTAGGCCAACCAGGAAGTAGAAGGCTTGAGCAACACTATAAAGCAACTAGATCTAATAGATATATACAGAACACTCCACTTCAAAAAAGCAGTATAAATACTCTTCTCAAGTGCACATGGAACATTCTCCAGGATAGACTATATATCAATATGTTAGGCTATAAAACAAGTGTTAATATATTTTAAAAGTCTGAAATCATAGAAAGTATCTTTCTCACCACAGTGGAACGAAGCTAGAAATAAATAACAGAACACTGAAAAACTAAAAAACTATGTGAAAATTAAATAACATGCTTAAACAAACAATGGGTCAGTCAAAGAAGTCACAGGGAGATTAAAAAATATTTAGAGATAAATGAAAAAGAAAGCACAACATACCTAAACTCATGGGATGTGGTAAAAGTAATGCTTACAGAAAACTTCATGTCTGTAAATACTTCTGTTAAAAAAAAAATCTCAAATGAATATTTCCACCTTAAAAAGTATAAAAAAGAAAAGCAAACTAAATCTAAAGCAAAAATAAAGGAAATCATAAAGACTACAGTGGAAATAAATAGAAATATAGAAAAACAATAGAAAAAAATCAACAAAACCAAAAGTTGATTGTCTGAGAAAATCAACAAAATTGACAAACGTTAGCCAGACTGACCAAGATAAAAAGAAGAGTCAAATTACTAAGATCAGGAATGAAAGAGGACATATCACTGCCAATCTTATACGAGTAAAAAGAAGTATAAGGGAATAATGTGAACAACTGTCTGTCAACAAGCTAGATAACTTAGATGAAATGAACAAATTCCTAGAAAGATAAAAAATACTGACACTGATTCGAGAAGAAATAGAAAATCTGAATAGACCTGTGGCAAGTAAAAAGAATGAATTAATAATAAAAAAATCCTCACAAAGCAAAGCCTAGAACCAGATGGCTTCACTGGTGAAT